GGAACCAAAGTGTCCCAGGTTTGATTCCCAGCCAGGGTACATTCCTGGGTTGAAGGCCATAACCCCCAGCAACCGCACATTGATGTTTCTCTCTCTCTCTATCTCCCTCCCTTCCCTCTCTAAAAATAAGTAAATAAAAAAAATATATAAAAAAAACTTAAAAAAACTTAAAAAAAAAAAGAATTTCATTTCAGAAATATATATTAATTACGGTTAATTTTTGTGTCTATATCTGGAATACACATTTCATGGCACATCTATATTATCAAGTATCTGTCCTAAAAGAGGCCTATTTGCTGAATGACCAATTTGCTAAACTACTGAAAATATTTTTTTTAAAGAATTAGTATTAACTGCAGCTTTTTATCAGGAATTGTTTGTTAGTCCAACTTCACTAACTGTTAATTTCATTCTTTTCATGTTTTGGAAACCAAGCGCTTTTTGAATGCTTAATGTTTTATATGCAAAAGTTTAGGGTTTTCTCTAAACTCACTTTACCCTAATTTTTATTTTTGCATACTTATGTCCTCCTCTTTGTTCTTATATCTAGCGGTGAAATACCTATCACAAATTACGCTAGACTAAGTTCCAGGTATTTGTGTCAATTTTTGGTGAGTTGCTCATTCAATGAACTTACCCAGAGCTTCTATCAAAGTAGCACATTTTAGAAAGGATATTAAGTAAGCCAAAAGTAGAAGCATGCTCCTCAAGGTAACACAGGATCCCTGAAATTTTTGGACTCTCTGCTAGGTACTCTGGCTATGTGGCTTGTTGCTGGGCAATTCTGGAGTTACCCAGATCTAAGAGCCCGAGTCTTCTTTATGAAACTGCAGAAATCATCATTGAAAACCACCGATGTCATAAATTTGAAGTAAATATTAAAATACATCTATAGGTCATAATAAAACAGACTGCTAAATTGCTGTATTTGTTAAATATTGAATGAAAAACTGGGATAACTAAATTTTCATTACATTAGTTACTATATTCTGGCTCCTTAATGTAATAACAACTCTAATTTACTCAGCACTTATTTTATGCCAGGTACCTGGTATTAATTATCTCTAATGTAATAACAAGCCTGCAAAATAAAAATTTCCCTTTTTTCTAATCTTGAAAACTGAGGCTGGTGAGTTTAAACAACTTACTCAGAATCACAATGGTGGTCTGTAGAGAATTAAAATTTTTTAAGTCTATTTTGCTTATTTTGATAAAAATGCCTTTGTTTTCCTACTTTTAAGTTACGTCTAAAGAATCATTTATATCAGTTCCATGACTAGCATTTAAATGAGATCAAAATATATTCATCATATAGGGGATATATCTGTTTGAAAGATCAGAAAAAAAACAGTAGTCTATTCTTACTCCACCCTATATTTACTTATTATTATACTTTGTTACTATACATATACATTTATAATAGGTTTGCTTAACTTATAAGAAATTAGTATCAAAAGTAAGAGCATGTCACAGTTAATGCAACATGAAATGAATGAAATCTCTCTGTATTTTAGTTAAATTAAGATTTTGGACCCAAAGTAGATAGGCATTTTTACATGACTTGATTACTTTATGTAGGTCTTATAAATGGCAGACTATAAAAAGTTTACTATGACTTTTTATGAGTTCTGGTACTTCAAAGTTATGGAGGTGGTACATTTTATTGTGACTGACAGTATAATACTGCTATAATAAAAGTTTCCTGTTAACTTGCTCTGTCCTGAAATGCCTGAAGCACTTCAGTTTAAGTGTTCAAATAAAATACCCGATGGAGAGAACTGACTCCGCACTGCTTCACCTTTACTCAAGGGAAACAGGCTGGTGCCGCAACACTGTGGGGACAGAAATTTGTTTTCCTAATTATGTAAAAACAGAATTGAAATGCCCTGATTATGCCATCTCTTTTTCGCATTACAGTTTTTCTGTGGATAATTCTCACTGTGTAGGGTGAGCAACCTTTCGAGTTTTTGGTAAATCTTCAGTTATCCAAGTACTTTTCATTTCCATGAAGAACTAGGTTTCAGTCATGTGAGTTGATGTCAGGATGACCCAACTGTGACATAACTTATCTAAATGATACCCATCTTAAAAATTCATTTCTATGGGTTATAAGTTTCATAAATCTAAAGCTATCTTTCCCCTCCAATGCCTGCATTTACCTCCAACACCAAATTCTCCACTTATGCCTTTCTTGTCTCCTCCTTCAGAACTTTGCTTTGAAAATTAAAGTCATGCTCAGCTCCTCTCCTGTGGAGACAATTTCCCTGTCCCCTCAGCTGATACAGTTTTATTCTTAAAAACAAAACTCAACAAAATCCTTTCCCCAGTCTTCTCCCATTCTTCCCTTCCTATGTCAACTTTCTAGAATAAAAGTCTGGTTCTATTCCTTCATTTCTTGACATCCTGCAACTGGGCTTCTATCTTTAATGCCACATGGCACTGTCTTCAAGAATGCACATGGTATTAAAGGAAATTACTTCCTGGCTGTCATTGTCCTCTGATTTTTTTTTCAGTACACCCCACAGGATATTCTCTCTTTAAAGTCTCTTCTTCTTTGAGTTTGATGACATTTGCATGTCTCTTGGGTTTTTCTAACACTATGCTTTTTTCTAACACTTGTTTTTCACACTACTTTTCTCCTGGATCTCACTTTCTTTTAACCTCCTGACCTGTACCTAACCACACTTTTCATCTTGACTTGTTTTCAACACAAGCTATGCATCAAAAATGCCTTGGCCTTTAAAATGTAGTTACTTGGGTTCTACAAGAGCTCCACACTGAATCAGGTTCTCCAAGAGCAGAGCCCTGGAAGATGCATTTGTAAGAAACCCTTTGGTGACTGCGGTGCATGGCCAAGTTGCAGGTGTTCTGCTCAGATCTCTTACATCTTCTCATTACTCTCTCCATTGGCAAATTCATGGTATTTTGACCCTGCATGTTACCACACTGCTAAGGTAATTGCTCACTAGTTCTGGAATATTATAAAGAAAAAAATCATTTTGTGGCCAAGTTTGGGACAGATTAAACAGAGATTATTTTACTGAGAGACTGCTCAAGGTCATATACCTCTTCAAATCTCTATGACATTTAAAGCACTCTTTATAAAAGGGTAGTCTGCATCCAAGCTTATCTCCTACCTCCTATAATCCACTCTAAACACCCATGCCAAACATCAGTATAAGGAATAACTATTCTTGGCATTCCCCTCCTCAAAATTTTCAATTAACTTTGGATTAGAGCCAACCTTAAATTTCCTAGCCTGGTATTCAAGGCCTTGTAAGATCTGCCTTGAACCTTTGTGACTTGCTTTTAGCCTTCATTATATGATTAAAAATGTATACACTTTGAAGTTAGACATATTTGGGTTGAAATTAAATTCTAACTTGGCCAAGCAATTTAAATCTTACAAGTCTCATTTGCTTGTAAAGGCAAGTAAGATAATATAGCTTCCACCTGAAAAGGTTATTTGGAGGATTAGGAAGTTTGTCTTTCTCATATCCTACACAGAAGTACTTGTTACCACCTACTAAAAACAGTGGTTCTCAAATTTCAGCAGGCATGGTTATTAGCAGGATATGTTTTACAGAAGGAGGTGCCTGGGCTATACCTTGATTAGACTCAATATGCCTGTGTGTGGAGTTGGGAGGTCTCCAGAACCACACTGCACAATATGGGAGCCACTAGTGAGAAATGTTGTGAGTTCAGAACCTAGGTTTTAATGCATATGAAAGGAATAATGCAAAACACCTCATTAATAATTTTTTACTTGATTACATGTTGTAATATTTTGGCTATATTAGACTAAACAAAATATATTATTCACATTAATCGTACCTGTTTCTTTTAACTTTTTAATGTAGGTACCAGAAAATTAAAATGACATATATGCCACACATTATATTTCCACTGAACAGCGATGTTCTAGAATGTGCATTTTTAACAAGTTGTCCCCATGATTCTGTGGTAGGTACCCTCAGGTCACCCTTTGAGAAACAATACAGCGATCCCTCACCTATCGAGGGAGTTACATTCCAGAGACTCCCGCGATAGGTGAAAACCCACAAAGTAGTGACATATTTATTTTATTATTTATGTATATTTTAAGACTTTATAAACCCTTCTCACACTCCTATAAACCTTTCCCACTCTCTTATTAACCTTTCCCACATTCTTATAAACACTTCATATGCTCTTAAACACTTTCTAAACTCTTAAACCTACGTAATTTTAACAACATATAAAATTCTACATGGGGACAATGTACCACAAAATCCCGTGATATAGCGAAAACTCCATGATACAGAATTAGATATATGTTTTTAAAAAACCCTTGATACAGTGAAGCTGCAATAAGTGAACTGCAATATAGTGAAGGACAACTGTATACAAAATTCTAACTCTATAAAAGAACTGATGCCTTCATATATATATCTTTGTATCCTCAGTGTTTTGAACACTGAGGGAAGTTTAACCACATGGTATTAGATGTACTTTAAATTTTACACCATCAAAATTTATAAAACATATTTCGTTAGAAGTTCTGTGTTTGTTCTATCCTGCCTAGTTCCTAAAGAATTATTTCTGAATTACATCCTTAAAGAAACAAAACATTTGAAACTGTAGTTTGGATTTGTTCCCAAATCATAAAAATAGTTTATTTTCCTTCTGGTTCTTTGACTTTGTGTAGAAATTGTCTATTTACCTGACTAGATTCCAAAATTGTTGAATATTATGGTACTCAAGTTCCTCACTTAAAACTAGTGGTTAACACTAAACTGCGAACAAGTGCTAGTGCAGTCAGGCGTAGAAACCACCAGACGTCTGAGGAAGGGGGGTCTCTATGTAGGGACAAATGGGGTGAAAATGGCTGACCACTCTGGAAGTAGAGAAAACTAAAAGAAATAGTTATAAATATTCAAGCTAATGTCAGGATGGAGAATAATCTTGACTCTAATGACTGTTAGAAGAGAAACAGTCACAATGAAGATTTTCCCACTTACCTCATTGCCACATTGCTGCCATCGATAACTATTGGTCTCAGATTTTCTCCGTCGTCTGTTACGATCTCTTGCATTGGAGAATCAGACCTCTGAGATTCCAGGGAGGATGTTTCCCGCATTATACTGTTAATTGTACTAACTGTTTGTTCGGTCTCACTTTTATTTCCAAGTTTGACAAGTTCTCCCAAAATATCATTGATTAAAGCATCAGTACCAAGTTTGTTTAGCACAAGCTGAACTTGTTCTTCAGAATAACCTAACTTAAGTGCAAACTCCAGTTTTGTTTGGTATTCTCTCACTGCATCAGGGGGTTTCTTCGCTTCCCTGGATATAGTCTGGGCCTCTTCGGGTTTAAAGTCTTGTAAAATTTCACTGCGTTTAAGTATGTGAGGAGGCTCTAAGCAGGGAGACCTACATAGCTGTCTGTGAGTCTTGGTTAATAAACATGGCTCTATTGAAATGTTACTCAGTTGCTCTGACTCATTATCAGAATTTGTGCTTTCTTCTGAGTCACCAGAGCTCACATTCTCTTCAGACACCTCTTTTTCTTCCTTCCCAGAATTAACTCTATCCATTGTTGGTTTTTCTACCATTGACCAAGGTACAGATGTACTCAAATGCGGGTCAGTGCTCTCCACATAAAGGTGGCCTAGGTCATGCCCCAGATGATCCTTTAAGCCCATGAAGCTGTTATGTGTACTTGACTCCACTTTGCTGTTTTTTCTATATTCCTGAATGCAAAGCACCCCGTATTCCTAGAGAAAAAAATGTAAAAATATTTAGAATTTCATATTTACTATTTCATTTGTCTCAATACACAAGTTGGAAGAGAATTACCAAACTATAAATACCCACTTCAGATTATATCTACTCTCTCTCCTCCCTCAACACCTTTGCCTAGACAGCATCACACCCTGTTTTGCAAATGACTTTAGAAATTAGAAAGGCCATATGACCCCTCCAAGTCAATCAAGTAAATAAGTAATGGAACTGGACTTTTTAAACCAATTTTTGTCTGACTCTAAAACCCCTATTTTTCCCACTATGTTGTTTTTCTGCCTTGATGGAAGAGACTTTTCCACTATTAGAAAGGCCTACCAGTGTTTCTGGAGTGACATATAGAATACTATCAAAGAGCATTTTTAAATGTGCTATGATAGTTAAGGTACATTTTTTCTAAAGGAATTAATAAAAAACTTGTAAAAATTCTCTTCAAGAGAAAGCCATGTGGAAAGAAAGGAAAACATTAACTTATAATTGTAAAAGTATCATTAATTATAAAATTAATAATTTTAATAATCTAAAGACATTTCAAAAATAATTCCAGTACTGAGTTGAAAGAGCACATATTCAGTAACAACCAACAAGGAATTACATAATTACAGAGTTAATTATATTCCAGTTCAGAGATGAGTACTTTTGTCCTAATAATCTTTATTTTGTGACTATTTTAACGTGATACTTTTATTAAGTGCCTGGAACACTACAGTCTATTTCATTCCAGGGAGCAAGGAAAAGCTCTTTTATTCTATGCACATTTATAGAAAGCAGAGAAATAAAATATCTCACATAAAATTAGCAGCAAATAATTAGGTACACTGAATACTGTTATCTTAATTTCTTGAATTTTATGGCAGAAAATATTTCTATATCATATCAGATAATTAACCATTATCTGCATCTGATTAGAAAGTCATCTTTTCCTCCTACTTTTGCCAATAAAAATGTTTTTAGTGTTTAAAATGCTTTTGCTGTTTTACTATTTTCCTTATAGTCAATTGGGAATAATTGTTACTTCTCTACCAGGAACAGGTTAACAAAATAAAATTATTTTCTCCTGTGCTTCACTGTACAGATTATATTTATCTCAGCCATTTACTTATTAAGGCAGTTCTGGTGTTATATCCATGGATAACATTAGTAAGCTAGTGGTAGCTGAATTTGAGACTCTATAAAATACCTATTTAAATAACCTTAAAAAAGAAACTGGATAAACATTTCATTCTAAAGCTTATCAACATCTTATTTACACTAGAAAGGAGCTATTACACAAATGTTAAAAGAAAATGCTAAGTGATTTTTTAAAGTCATTTAAATGCACATTTGGTGACCTTACTAGAGAGTTAAATATTTCTACATAATGAAATAAATTATATTAGATATGGTAAATACTACAATAGAGAACATGGAAATCTTTAGCTTGATACAATACACTTAAAATTCCTTCAGTGTAGAACTCCTACACACTTCTACAGGAGTTTCTACAGACTTTATCCTTTCAGAAGACAGATAACTTACTGTTCTACTAATGAAACATTCATTAGTTTTAAAGAAACATCAAACTCCCCTGGCTCCTGATTGCACAACTGATAAAAAGAAATATTCCTTTGGAGAGCTCCATATACATCTGCTCCATTATGAAGCTGTATCCATTTTATTTTTTCTATTAATATGGATATGCATGAGTCCAATTATTTAGAATTGAAAGAAGGGATTTTGAAAGCAAATCTTTACACTCACTGATTTATTAACTACTGTAATATACTGACAGCATAATGCAAGTAACAAATCACAACAGCATCCTAATAAAGGGATACAGTTAAAAGAAAATTCCACACTGTGGCCTTCGTAGAGCTCCCACCTAAAGTATCTTATACAAGGACAACCCATTGGAAGCTGGGCTGCCTGGCAACCAGAAGCTGGTTGCTAAGCTGCGCTCTTTTAACATGCCATCATGAATGCTAGCACAGTGAAAGAATAATTTGGTATGAACAAAAGCCTATAAAAGAGACTGGGACTTAAGCGCGTCTGGTTTACCCTCGGAGAACAATGAAGCTGCCAAACCAATCTGGAAGCTCCGACATCATTGTTCTGTAAACCCCACAATCTGCTCTGACTGTAGGAAGTATATTTAATGGGCAGCATTTTTGATCTCTTCTGAAAAGTTTGGGTTTTGCATAAGTACTGTTGTAAGATAATTCTTCAAGATAATTCACTGACCAAATCCCTAAACTAGGAAGTATTATTTAAATTTTGAGCTGTAGTGTTTTTCTTATGAACTGTTTCAAACAAGATACATACTTTATGAAAAATATGGCCAGTGAAGAAAATTAGAATGCAATGTTATGTTTATGATGTAAATTAAATTATTAACTTTTATATTTTTCAAAGAAACAAAACCAAATACTGTTAAGTTTTCAATATGAAAATTAGCTACCCTAAAAAGTGTTTAAATCTTTCTATATTACCTTCAATTTAACATAAAAAAGTGTTGATGATACTATGTAAATATGCTAATATAATTTTATTGTATGGCTATGATAAAATAGAGAAAAAAGGGATAATGGTTGTTTGCTTTTTATAATACTAAACCAGATAAAACTCATTTGATTACAAATGTACTTAGTGAATACCACACACATTTAATTTCTGATAATTCATGTAGTTTATACATACTATTTAAACAAAATGTCTGAAATATGATTTTTACTATTAAGGATAAATGTAAGTTTGATCTAACCTACTTTTTAAAAAATTTAACATCTAATTTTGTTGCAAATAATTTTAAAAAGATTCTGATTTAACTTTTTTCACATTGAAAGGCCTCTCTTCATCTTCCAGATTTAATTGGTTACCTCCAGAAAATTATTCAATGTCATCCTGTCCTAAACAAGCAGTTAAATAATTTTTAGTATCTATGTCAACTGAGTATGAAATAGTATAGATAAGGTCAACTGAGTTCAAATACCAGGCTCAAAAACTGCATACGTTTTCTCCACTACCTAATATAAATGTGAAATAACCTGATTTGTACTGGCCTAAATGGTAAGGATTTGTTTTCTTTTAAACTTTAACCTCTAAAATGCTTCCTTGCCCACTTGTAAGTTATAAAGTATTGCCCTAACTTAATATGGAACTTAGAAAAGAATCTGGCAATATCTTGAAATCATTCAATAAAAATTAACTGCTCAGATTTAAAAACTGATATGCTGCATATTTTTATATGCTGCAGAACATGTCAATGTAATGTAATGTATAAAACAAGTAATTATTATAAGAAATCTTAGGATAAAGAATGGTATATGATGTTTTGTTTAGTGTCTTAAAAATGACCAATATAATTTTGGAAAATGAAAAGATAGCAAAGACTCTAATAACATCATAAAATTTATTACATGTAAGATAGAAAATATCCTTCTCTTTGATTTCTAAATTGTTTATTAGACTTTAAATTTTATATTTACTCAGAAGCATATACAGATCATCATTAAATTAATCAACTATTAACTGATACAGGTCATTTTCCTCAGTTCATGGAGAAGCAGCACAAACCAAGTTTCACAGAGAACACAAGTTGGTTTATACTTTGAGAGTTATCAAAAAACTCTAAGAAATATGGACTAACTTTTAAGCTTAATACCAGGAATCCATTGTAACTGGTCTTACATAGTCTTAACTGGTCTTATATTTATAAACACAAAAGATATTGGGCAAAAATATAATGGTCTGAAAACAGATTTCTACACTTAGGAAGCTACAGATTCCTTCCTAATATTATACTGAAAATGAAAACAATTTTTCTTGCTAAAGGCCTGATAAGTTAAAAATCAAATAATATTTGTTAAAAAAGAACTAAATTTTCATAATTTTGTAGATGATGATGAAGTATAATTATTTTAATGGCCAAAAGAAACTTTATCTTAGGTTAATGATATAATGGCTATTTACTAGAATTTGTTGCATACATACAAATTCCCCATTTTGTGAAATTTTCTGAAAGTTCTCATTAGATGACTTGGATAATCCTTCTTCTCAAATCAAATATATTTAAAAAAAGTATTCTGAAGAGCCTCATATTATCAGGAATATTAGACCATAAACTTATTTCATCAAGTTATTTGTTTGTAATGTAAAGTAACAATGCCATAAAGTGGGTCCTGGTTGTTATCCAAATGGTAATACTAAGAGAACAATGAAAATAAAATAATGAATATGTAATAACTACCTACTGCTGTAGTCTCTGTGTATTTAATTACCACTGTATTTCAGTGAGTGCTGTTGTCTGCATGGCTCTAGCTAACAAAGGAAGGATGTCCCTTTGAACAGATTGGTTAATGCTCCAGGGCAACAGATGTCTACTGGAGCTGCAGGAGACCAGCAACTGGTGGCCTGCCCATCTTCTGAAAACTTTCAATAGACTTATGCATATGTTCACACAATAGGGCATGTGGTAGAAATAAAAACTTTTTTAACCCTTTATGCTCTTGCTTTCCCTCCCAACTGACAGATGAAAAGTCTTTGTTTCCTCCTTCCTTCCCCATTACAGAACTCTTAAAAGCAATAGTTCTTTAAATGACATCTTCAATCTAATACCTGGAACTAGTGCAAGGAAACAAAAAGATGGGAGAGAAGAAATTAGTAACTCTGTGAATACTGAAATTATCGATAAAGCAATTGGATGCTTAATGATCATATTTAAGACAAGCTGTTTGAAACATCTACCTATATTAATCCATCTCCCCGAGCTAGGTTTTTAAGATAATGGAAAAAATCTATCAAATTTTAGTTTTGCTTTATAGCACCTAGGGCTGACAGTGACTAAGAAACATAAAAATGTGACAAGATAAAATCTAAATTCATTGTCTATCAAAATATCATAACATGTTCTCACTTATCTTTAAGTACCAAATGATTATATGCCAAACCTAATACCTTACAAATGCTCGTGAAGCTGTAATTATAAAACTCCAGAATT